TCATACGTTTTAATTCTTCGCGTAATTTAAAATTCACACATCGTAATTCGTATTTACGCGATCTTAAAATTGCGCAGCGCATTTCGTATTAAAAATAACGAGATTTAAAAATCATCCATCGCGATTCATATTCACGCGATTTAAAAACCATATATCGCGATTCATATTCACACATTTTAAAAATCATGCGCTGTGAGTAGTCTTTTCGCAATTTAAAATTGTACATCTCAATTCGTATTCACGCAATTTGAAAATCACACATTGCGTTTTATATTTGCACAATTTAAAAAGCACACATAACAATTAGTATTTAGGCAATTATAAAATAACACATCGCTATTTGTATTCACGTGATTTTAAAATATGGAAATGAAGAACACCATCTAGGACAAATTCCAAAAGTGATTAAGTTTTTTGCCCTAATTTAATACTACCCACAACAACAGCTTCTGTCATAAGACTGTTTTCCAGAATAAACTTGGCCTGTTCGAATTTACGGAGCAGTCTTTTAACAAATTCATTTAATGGCTCGAAAAAGCATGATCAAGTGAATCACATGATCAAGTGAATAAAATTATCCCAATATTTAAAAATTTTGCAAATTACAGGATAACCATTAAGAAAATTTTTTAACCATTTTCTTATGCTATACTTCCACCATTTCATATCATTCATGATTGTACGCTGGGAAATGATTTGTATATCATTAAATTTTAACAGTAAAAAATATAATCAAAATAAGTTTCGTTAAGTAATGTAAATGTTACTAATTGTTTATGCATATGTGTATTAATTGTAAATAGAAAGTGTCATGTTAAAAAAATATTCGCCATAAAAAATTTTAAACAAGTATCTTAATAGTTTTTTATTATTAACGAAAATAGCTTACTCAAGATTAATGCTTTCTTTCTTTCTTCCCTCTCTCTGCCCCTGCTTCCTATCATTAATTTAAAATAAATGTTTTAAAGTTTAAGTATATTCCCCTTCTAAATGCTATATCTTATTTTCCGCAGATGGGGTTTTGTTTCAATTTTTATCATTTTTAACCCTATAAACTTTCTTTAAATCAAAGTATTTAACTTGTATTTATTTTAATAATTAGAACATTTTTTTTAAATTTATTTCTATGAAAAAATTTTTTAAAGTTAAAATTTATGTTAAAATGAACTTATATATTATGTAATATGACTTTTAAAAAACATGTATTTTCCCATAGCTTTTTAATTATTTCAATTTATCTAAATTTTCTTCTGATTAACTGATTCTGTTTTTTCTTAGAAGGCTCAGTTTTTTCTTAGTTTAGAAGTTTTTAACTTTAAACATTTAAAAGTATTTAATTTTATGCTAAGATATTACAAGGTTAACTTAGAAAAAGAATTTAGTGGTTAAAATAATGTTTTTATAACAATTACTACCTAAAATTGTTATGAATATATGTTTGTCTAAATACTTTGGGTGTTCCCTTTGGCATGTGGCCCTTCATTAGTCAATCTGCTGCGCATGTGGCCCTTCACTCAAAAAGGTTGTGCACCCCAGATTTAGGGAATTGAAAAAACTTCTTGATCTTCAGTGTGTAGATATTTTTCTGATGGTGTGGCACAACATTTTTGAAATGAAAGGAAAAATCAAATAAAAAAAAAAGTACTAGCCTATCACAGATCAAAAGAAAAACTTTTCTAATTTTTCTCTATAACAAAGTTCACTGCTGCATTGTAAATTTCTTACGTAACAATCAGAATATGAGCATTATTTATTTCTTACTTATATCGCAAACATGGTTAAAAAAACTAACTTCTTGCTTAATAAATCTTTATATAATAATATATTTTAGAAGAAAAAGTGCACAAAAAGTATTGGTTTTACTCAAAATTTTATTAATAAAATTATCTCTTATTTATCAAATATGTTCTCTTATTTATCATATATGTTAACTATTTATTCTTAATTATTAGTCATACTTTTTGTAATCTTTTATTATTTTCCATTTTGTAAAAGCTGATTTATGATGTAAAATTAGAGCAGGGTGGCCACCCACCTGGAAAACCTTGAAAACCTGGAATTATCAGGGAATTTTTTTATACTGGAAAAAACCTGGAAATATCAGTGAAATTTGGATAAAAACCTGGAAAAATCAGGGAATTTTAAAGAAAAGCTGGAAATTTTTTCTTTGATAATTTTTTTAATTTCACTAATTTAAATTATTTACTAATTTTCTTAATTTAAATTATTTCATCCATTATACCCACTTTTTTAGACGGAAATGTATCGCTAAACAGTTGAAATATCATTAACTTAACAATACTTTGTCTGCATCAAAATTTGCTCCATTACAGCTCTGTCAAACTAGAATACCACATAAAATTCTCCCACGGTTTGCTAAACGAATGCAGAAACCTTTGACCGCTATGGGACTGTGCAATTTAGGAAAGATTCTGGTGGAGGTGGAAAAAGGGATTAGGATATTAGCTTCTGTTTTTAAATTCTGTCCTTGGGCTGAATCCATTTATGGTCAATTGTAACAGNATTTAGGGAATTGAAAAAACTTCTTGATCTTCAGTGTGTAGATATTTTTCTGATGGTGTGGCACAACATTTTTAAAATGAAAGAAAAAATCAAATAAAAAAAAGTACTAGCCTATCACAGATCAAAAGAAAAATTTTTTCTCTATAACAAAGTTCACTGCTGCATTGTAAATTTCTTACGTAAAAATCAGAATATGAGCATTATTTATTTCTTACTTAAATCGCAAACATGGTTAAAAAAAAACTAACTTTTTGCTTAATAAATCTTTATATAATCATATATTTTGAAGAAAAAAAAGTGCACAAAAAGTATTGGTTTTACTCAAAAATTTATTAATAAAATTCTCTCTTACTTATCAAATATGTTCATAAAATCATTAACTATTTATTCTTAATTATTAGTCATACTTTTTGTAATCTTTTATTGGTTTCCATTTTGTAAAAGCTAATTTATGATGTAAAATCAGAGAGTGTTATGTCAGTAACACCAAATGTTAAGCCAGTAGCTAATTTATTTGTGTTTTTTCTTAATTATTAAGAGTCACAATGTTTAAAACTTGAATGTCTTCAAAAATGTCATTATCTCTTGAATATATGTGAAAAACATTTGATATTTGATCGTCCATAACAAACAGTTTTTATTTTTTAAAAACATTTGCGGAAGTTGAAGTATTTTAGGATTTTTAATTAAGTTATATGCATTTCAAGTCTACAAATATAACATCAGTATTAGTGGAATTACCCTACTTTATATGGAATTTTAATTACTTGATATAAAAAGTTTAATATTGCTTTAATTTTACGTTAAAATTTGTATTGTTTCAAACAAATAAGAAAAAAAAACAAGAAAGATTTATATGATATATAGATATATAGATGAACCTAATAATATGATATATAGGCATACAGTAAACAAATGACAGTAATTAAATAATTCTGAAATATGATATTTTTATAATACACACAAGCAAGGGCAAAATATCTCTTCAATATTCAGTTCCTTTATTTATTATTATGTTAGCAAATTTAAAGAACAAAAAATTATATTTTTGAATTGCTTATTGAAAAGTAATATTCTTTTCAATNAATAATTCTAAAATATGATATTTTTATAATACACACAAGCAGGGGCAAAATATCTCTTCAATATTCAGTTCTTTTATTTATTATTCTGTTAGCAAATTTAAAGAACAAAAAATTATATTTTTGAATTGCTTATTGGAAAGTAATATTCTCTTCGATAATATTCTATTTAGAAAAGTTTATCGAATAAAAGTAATATGATTAAGTAATAGTTAAATGAAATACTCCAAGATACTTTTGGATGGTTTAGTTAGTTTCAATTAAGGACTTAAAATATTATTTCACATTTTGTTTTTGTTTTAAATGGTTTTAACAACAAAAAAAAACCTTTTCTTTTCAAACCCTCAAAACCTTATGAGACCGGAACAATGTATCTCAACGGAAGAAATTAAGCAAAACCATATTTAAAACCTTTTTTTTCTTCTTTTAAATGACAAGCTATTTCATCAAATTTGTTCAATATTTTCGTCCTGTATTCAATTGATCAGCATTTTGAAAAAGCAATTTGTCGTAACTGGAAAAAAAATATTCCAGCTCATGATCTCAACTAAGTATAGCTGTTAACAAATTAAGGCTTAATTTTTATGTCATAGTATCTGACTCAGAAATTATTAAATTTCTTCAATTTGCATAAAAAATATTATAACTAAAAAATATAATCCTTTTCATGTATTATGAATACTAGAAATTGAAATTAATTGTTATTAAAAAGTCATTCAGTAATTTTACGAGACAGATTGTGGAGTTAAAAATAAAATTAAATCATTGAAATACCTAAAAAGGAGATGACCCTAATTATAGAATGAAACTTATTTATAAATCCAGGAAATTTTTCCTTTTTTCTGGCATTTCTAATTTCAAAAGTAAAAATGTAATTTTACTGGAAAAAAAGGGAAATACTGCTATTGTGGTTTTATCAAACTAAATACAAAACTGATTCAATATCTTATTTTAAAAAGCTTCAAGTGTTTTTACCGATTTTATGATAGTGTTTATTGTAATTTTTATTAGCAAGATTTAATATTTTTTAAATCTTGCATACTTAGTTTAAATATTTTTAATATCAATTAATTGATATGTTTGTATTTTCAGATAAAAGATAAACCAATGTTCTCTGCTAAATTGAAAGTTTTAAAGGGATGTAAAAAAAAAAAAATTATGAAAGTATACTTTTGATGGCTTTAACACAATCATATAAATGTAGAATTCACTACATTTATATTTAATGTAGATTGAACATCATTTATATTTAATGCAGATTGAAGAACATTAATATTTAACACTGATTAAACTATATTTTTATTTCATGTAGATAGAGCAACATTTATACTTATCCTAGCTCCATCAAAATTCTTTTCAACAGAATTTATCAGATATACAACATATGCAACTACAGACTGAACTAAATTTATATTTAATATAGATTAAACACCATTTATATTCAATGTAGATTGAACAACATTTACATTTAATGCTTTTCTATTTCATATAGATTGACCGTCACATATACTTAATGTCGATAGAACTGCAATTATATTTATTCTAGCTCCATCAGAATGCTTTTTAACATAATGTATGCTGTTTTTATGAGAGTGAAGCAGTATATTTATCAAGAAGCTTGTTAAATCTTCCTGCTTTGTTATACTATTTTCATAATGGTGATATTTTGTAGATGGTCCCCAGTTCAACGTGAAGATATTCATTGGTGTAGAATACGAATGTTACAGGGGTCATCGTTTTATGTGCTCGGCTCCAGATAGGGTGCTCAGAATCACAAGCACTGGTCACGTTAAAGTAAGTACATTAATCAATTCCCTTACCAATCATTTTGAGAAAAAAATGCCAAAATTCAACATATTCTTTTTATTAATAAATTTAAGGAATTGAAACAAAACATAATGTACAAGTTTCAGGTTGAAATTTGAATTTTTTTTTCATGTGTAAGAAGCATTTAATTTAAAATCAATTTACTATCACGAGTTGGGCAAAAGAAACTGAGTGAAATATGAGTCTTTGTATGATAGTTCTTAAAACAAGGAACAACACAAAGTGATACTTTTCAAACGTCAGTGAAGGGTTATGCAATTTTTTTTTTTTATACTCTTATTGCTGTATAAATTCAGCAATCATCGTACAGTAAAACTTGCTTAAGTTGACCACTAGTGGTGCATTGTTTTAGTGATCAACTTAGACAAGTGGGCGACTTATAGAGGGAGTGGGTCATTGTTTACTTTTTCGTTTCCTATATTCTAATATTTAACTAACTTTTTTAAAAAAATTATTTCATTAGTTATGCATGTGAAGTGTTTAATAAAAATAATTTCTTAAAATATCAGAACACGAAAACATTGAAAACTTTAACAAAACAAAATTATTTTAACACTTCAAAATTTATTCTGTTATTACTACACATATAAGCCTATTTGCTCACTATTGCAACTGGAAGAGCAACTTTTCAACTAACACACCTGTTTTCNTTATTCTGTTAGTTATGCATGTGAAGTGTTTAATAAAAATAATTTCTTAAAATATCAGAACACGAAGATGTGTAATTTGAAAACTTTAACAAAACAAAATTATTTGAACACTTTAAAATTTATTCTGTTATTACTACACTTACAAACCTATTTGTTACAAAAATAATCCCTCATTGTTGTTTGGCTCTGTTGTTTAGACTTCTTTGCATCAGCCCAATGTTTTGAATGGAAGAAATGGTCAAAAGCTGACCCCCTACAGTTTCCCCAGATGGTCAATTCACAAAAGGGTTTAAATTAGCTTTTTGCACTATTTCACCAAACAAGTGAAATTTTAACATACATTGCAAAATGCCAGAAAATTTTCTGAAATTTTTTTTTCCTGGCCAACTTATGAGGGTTTTAGAATAGAATTTCATAATACTCCTAGACGAAATTGACTTATTTCAGTGGTCAACATACAAGATAGACTGGTGGTCAAGTTACAAAAGTTTTGCTTCTTTATATAATATAGGAAAAATTCCGTTCTTGATAATTGAGGTCAACTTATGCAGGTGTCCAATTTACAAGGGTGGTCAACTTGGCAGGTTTCACTGTATATACAATTGCACAAAACACGTGTGCCATCCAACAGCAAAACTCCCAAATTAAACTTGGCCAGCTTCCAATCACAGCAGAATATGTTTTTTGCTTCCGACTGAGTAAAAACATGATAAAACAAAATGTACTGACAAATTCTGCTAAGCCCGAGTTTTCTCCAGATGTTAAATATTTGCAATATATCCGAGTAAACTTGGGATAATCAGGGAGGCGGTTCATGTAAGTAAAATCTTTATTCAATAACAAGATTCAATACATTTTTATTATCACATTATTGCTTTTTCTGATTTGCAAACTGTTTCTTTTCTCATATCCATTACATCTTATGTGGTTTGTGGGAAGAGAAATATTTGGTTTGATCTATTACATCTTGAATTTCCTATAAAGTTTCAGCGTAAAGTTCTTTATTATAGTAGAATATTTATCTGACTCAATTCTATAGAACACAATTCTCCAACCATGAACCACATTAACTTAATGATCTCAAGAGCAAACAAATAATTATAGAGTGCAGAACCTCTTATCCGGAAATCAGATAACCGGAATGAAATTCGGAACCGGAAATTAATTCTCCTGCAAGATTTTGAGCCCATTTTGTTATTTAGAGCGTACAGCATATCGAGTTGACGAAAGAACTGATTAAGAGGACAGATCAAAAGCCGTTTGTAGACAAATCTCACATAAGCACAAATAGCTTATATATGTTGTTAATGTTAAACATATATAAGCCTTTATATAATTTTTATTTCATAATTTCTTTCCTTATTTAAACTTAAGTGTATTATTATTTATCATTTTTTATTATTTCTAAGACTATTTCAAAATAATTTTTTAGTTTCGTTTTATAAACATTAAAAAAAACGGCATTTTGTAGCGATTCAGAAAACCGGAAAAATCAGTTATCCGGAATTGTGATGGTCCCGATCGTTACGGATAATGGGTTCACTACTTTACATAGCTATTGATACATGACAAATATGAACTCTACTGAATTTTGACATTTTCCCATGTTCTACTAGTTTAAATAAAATTCTCCTGGTTTTCGTACATTTTAAAAAGTCCCTGTTGAAATAAAAATTTTGCACAGATTATTGCTTTCTTGATTATAGAAATAAGTAGTATTACTAGTACGTCATGAAGCAAGTTTCATTTATTGAAATAAATTTAAAACTTTTTTGTTCAAAAATGTTTAGTTTATTTTTATTCACAACTCTCTTTTTAAATTAAATAAAAAATCTTTTAACTTTCTTCGATGAATTAAATGCCCATTACTATTTAAAATCATGAGTAAGCGTAATACATGGCATTTCAAGTATATTTAATACCAATCATAACTGCAAAATATTGCAGTTTTTCTTTTTTGATGACTAAAAAATCTCTAAAATTCCCTATGTGTAAAATATTTTGTACATTATGCAACAATTATCATAAAAGTAATATTTTGTGAAATATACTGGATTTTTTCCTAACTCCCTGGGCAGCTATGATAGTAAATTTGTTGATTGTTAGTTCAAATGTACTTGATAATTTAATTTGTGATAGTAATGAATATTTAAGTGTTTTTTTTTTACTTTGTTTAAAGTATTAATAATGAAAATTATTTTAAAACATAATTATTGATCTGCTCCTTATGTACATTGGGATGTTTAATATGCAAGTTTAATGATACGCAAAGTAAAATTCTAAAGTAAAAGGCTCATACTTAACAGACGTAAAGTGCAAAGACTCATATTTTCGTGTTTTCGTTATTAAGATCTTTACTGTTGTGTACTCTTTCTTGCAGCAATAATAATACATTTGTTGTTTGTTAGTTCAAAAGTACTTGCTAATTTAAATTTGTTTTTCTAAAAATAATGAATATTTAAGTGTTTATTTTGTACTTTGTTTAAAGTATTAATAATAAAAATTGTTTTAAAACATTATTGATCTGTTCCTTATGTACATTGGGATGTTTAATATGCAAGTTTAATAATATGTAAAGTGATAAAAATAGCACAAAATTCTATATAATGCAAAGGCTCATATTTTCGTGTTTTCGTTATAAATATCTTTGCTGCAGAAATGTATGTTTATGTGCATAAAATGTATGTTTAAATGCATAAAATATATGTTTTTACGTTATTGCTTTCACACAAAAGGAAACTTAAGGAATTTGATTATATTTTAAGTATTTGAAATATCAATATTTATTGTTGTCGGTTTTGAAAACTGTAACAAGAAATATCAATAAATTTTTTAATTAATATTTTTAAAAAAGGAGAAAAAAAACTGCATTTTATTTTATTGCTTGAAAATTAAAAGTATGAGTCTTACTTTTTAACCTGGTAGCTTTTTAAAAGTTATATCAATAAATCTGAAATTTTTACTCTCATATTGTATATAGTTTTAGATTTTTTTTAAAATTTAGTTTTTTTTATTTATCTGTTCGCATTTTTAGGATAATGCATCTAAAATTACAAGTTCTGACATGCCACTTTATTTCCCTTGCCCGTGCAGGTAAGTTTTTTTTAAAAATGCTTTTTAGATTGTTAATAATCTTGTTGATACTGTTCTCACCTCTCTTTCTTATTTAGTTTAAAAAGTGTTGTATAAACTAAATAAAAATTTAAGTTACCTAAACAATTAAAATAACATAAATAATCATGTCATGTGAACTCAATGTTTTAAGAAAACCACTAGTGGGTGAAAAAAATTTCTTCTTTTATTTTTTGCTTTTTATGTTTAATTTATTTTTATTTTCATTTATTTATTTATCTTTTTTTTTGCATAAATAAACTTGTTTATAATAAATCAATTTCATTTTGTTTCTCACTTAACATTAATATATTCCTTTTAAATTGTGATGAAATCTGCCATGGAAGAATCCAGTAATTTTTAGTTTGATTTTGTATAACCTTCTTTGTTTAATATGTCCTTTATTTATCATAATTTTTATTTAATTAAAATTTATGCATATATTTATTGTGTTTAAGCATATATATATATATATACAGTAGGGAACCGATTATCCGGAACGATCGGGACCATCGCTATTCCNTGTCAAAATCTTGTTATGTCGAATATTTTTCGAAGTCAAAAATTAATCTTTTCAGAAAAATCACAGTGTACCACCACTCAACAGTGCTGCGTCCCCCTGTGGCAGAATTTTTCGTGCTTTCTGTGACATACCTCTCTAATACTAATATCTTTCTGCAAGATACTTTTAAAAATAGCAAATATACATGCTTAATTTAAAGTAACAAAAAACAACAAAAAAATAAAACTTCAAAAAGAAAAAAACTTTTGGTTAAAAAAAATTTTTAAATTTGAATATGTAATATTTTTGCCGATATCCTCACATTTTGTAGGGTGAAAACACACTAATTGTTTCCTTTTTCGCATTTTGTAAAGCATCACAATAAAAAAAAATCGTAAAATGAGAAGCACTAACTTCTAAAAAGAAAAAAAAATGATCAACGGCAAAATCACTTGAATCAAACTCTTGAAAAAGGTGTTACTAATGTGTGTTTTCATTTTGATATTCAGTTATAATAACTTCTAACTAAGCATGCTAATTACTTCCTTTTTCGCTTTTATAAATCATCACATTAAAAAAAAAATAGTGATATCAGTAGCAGTAACTAACAAAAAAAAATCAATGGCAAAATCACTCAAATCGGACTCTTGAAAAAGATGTTATTAATGTGCGTGTTTTCATTTTGAGATTCAGTTGTAATAAAAAAATATCGTATTAAAGATATAGGATTTTAACAACAATGTGAAAATAAATAGTAATAACTACATAAAATATCGAATGAAAATTTTTGCAAGGAAACTCCTAGATCAGTACCTCCAGAGATATGATTGGTTACGGGAACGTGGAGGACTTAGTGACTCAACAGATTTAACATGCATCAGTCACCATTTACTACACAAGGAGACTTTGGCTGGCTTGGACATTGGTCCAGTGCCCGACCAACCAGGCAATCCCGGCTCCATATATATGCTATTGTACTTTTACATATACTATTATGTATACTATTGTTTTTTATTTCCATTCTTGTAGATCTTCCAAACCTCAAATGGCCCAGTTGATGCGAATTCACGTAGTCACTCCAAAAGCTCCTGTTCACGTGACGTTACATCCGAAAGTTCAGCCAGCCTCAGAGGCTTGCCCAATATTTTTTCCTACAATTAATGAACCACTGAAACTGACACAGTCAGCTTATTGGGTCCTACGCTTGCCGTATCCTTTTTTGCTATATTCTTTAAAGAATGTTTGGCTATATGATCTTTTCAATATGAATAAGATTGACTGTAGCAGTAAAACTAGAATTGACTTGGAGAAAAATGCAATGACACCATTTTGTATCCAAATATGCAGCATTAATTTCACTATTAAACAAAAAATCTTTGAACTCTATTTTTAAGCAAATAAAATCCCTAAAAAAGTTAATAATATTAGTCTTTGATTACCAAAGAACTGGTAATTTTGAAATGAGAAAATGAACACGGAGGCATGAAATAATGTATAGAAATTAATTTCTGATTCTAACTATGCTATCTTTCTGCCTAATTTTGCTAAATAATTCATTGAAAATGAGCACATTTATGCTATCATTTCATTTGTGCTGTAATTATATGATTTCCTTAACATTTGAATCAAAGATTTGTGTATGAAGGAGATCATGGTCCCTATCTTCCACCCAGAGAGCCTGTCTCTACATGCAAGCTTTTAAAAGGAACATATAACATTGCTGAGCATCAATCTAATCGATGAACAAAAAAAAAGAAGGTATATTTTTTCTCTTCTCTCACCATGAAATTCATTTTCAAGCTTATTTGTGGGAATTTTCTCAATTGTTTTTTTTTTTTTAGAAATTGAGTTTAGGACTAGAAACTTTCAAAAGAAATGTTTTAGTTAAATACTTTTGGTATAAAAACAGACAAAATTACTTAAGTAAATATAGAACCAATCACTGATCTAGTGGTTACTGTACTGAATTATGGGGCCAGTGGATGTTGGTTCGAATCCTGCTACAGGCATTGATGCAAATTTTTCTCTCTGTGTACTCTATGTCCTTTCCTCTGTGTGAATTTGGCATGCTCTATAAATAGGTTAGTGGTTGTATGACGTGGGCGTGGCTACTCCACCACCATGGCTTAACCACAAGTGCCCACTAAGTATTAATTAGAGAGTAGCTTTTCTAATGGGAAATAGGGCCAAGTGCCGGCCATTAAGAAAGAAAAAAAAATTATTTAAGTATGTAACATGCTGTGTAGTGTTTTTAAAAAGATCTTAAAGGTATTTTTTTTTCATTGGGTGTTTTTAAAAAGTACTTAATTTTTCCTTTTCGAAAATGAAATTTTTTTTCTTCAAGCTTTCACATTGTTCTATTCAATGTTTTCACAGTTCATTCAACTACAATCTATTTTGGCTTACCGTTGTTCCATAGCGTATGCAAGCGCCAATCATTTTACATGTTTTATGTTGTGAATCCACACGTGCGTCTACTGAGATATTGCCTGAGACTATTGCCTTCTCATGTGCAACTCTGCTGAGTTTTGCAAGATATTCTCCATTTCAGGCTTCATTTTGCGCCCTCTGATGTCAAACCTAAAAAGCTCTTCATCTTTTTATAATGGCTAATATAATTAAGAAAAGAGCTCTTTGTCAGAGACTAGTTATTTTATCATGATTATATAAAGTCTTTAAAAATTATTTTGCATTTTGTTGATGTATATAGTACTTGAAAATATTTTCTGAGCACTTGAAAAGTACTTAAAAGGGGCTTATTTTTTGTTGAAAGATTTGGCTACGCACCCTGTTAAATTTAATTTCTCTACTCCAATTTATATTTGTGTAAGACAGTTTATTTGAGGTTATGTTCTTTGTAAGGAATCAATTTGACTTTTTTTTTTTTATTTTAGTGGAAAAAAACTTTTTCCCCTAAAGTTTTCAAGGAAACCAACGATTGGAACCAGACCCAAGTTGATAGAACTAATAGTTCCTAAGTTTTTATTCATAAAAATACAGTTATACCATACATGCCTGATTTTACAAAATTTTTGTTAAGAAATTTTGACCCTTACATATATATTCCACTTTCTAGTCCATACATATCTAGATATGAGGTCTTGTATATAAAAAGTATTCTAGGGGGGGCCACGGAGTTTAATGCTCCACAATTTCAAGTAGATATACTGTAAACATTCTTGTGTACATACATGATGTTAAATTCTCTTTCATAACAGAATAACAGCTTATAAAATATTTTTCTAATTTATGTTCAGCTGTTACAATTGTTATTACAAATGAGGAATTTATTGACAAGCATTCATAAATCACTATTTTTATAAAAATTTGGATTTTTTAAAACGAAAAGTGCACATTGTGTTTTTAAACCAAGCAACTTCTGACCATATTATTTATAAAAATGATTTGTTGTATTAAATGAAAGATTTTTTTACCTTTATTTTACCAATTGCTCAATACTAATATAATTAATTTTACCTGAACAATTTTTTAAAAATATTTTTATCTTGCACATAGTCACATACTCTTTTAAATACTAGATTAAATTTATTAATTAATCATACAGAAGTTTAAATGTTAATTCTTGAGGTTTTTTTCTTTGTCTTACTGTAGGGAACCAATTATCCGGAACGATCGGGACCATCACTATTCCGGATAACTGATTTTTTCCGGTTTTCTGAATCGCTACAAAAAGTCGTTTTTTTTATTGTTAAACTAAACTTAAAGAAAAATATTTGGAAATAAGCTTGAAAAAACGAAGTAATACACTAATGATTATTTCCAAAATGATGCTAGGGTAAACATCTTTCAAAAAAGAAAGGAAAATCCAAAAATCTTATGAGAAAATTTTTTTTTAAAAAATAGCGGGAAAATTTATCAAATCTCGTGTTCCGGTTTTTTGGTTTTGCGGTTTTCTGATTTCCGGATAGCGGGTTCTGTACTGTATTAACTTGCTTGGAATTTAAGCTTTTACTCTTTTTTTCCCAGATTCTTACCTGACAAAATATCCTTAAACTGAATTTCTTAGAAATATAAACTAGTGTTTAAAAAATATGTGTATGAATGTTTGCATGAAAAGTGGGAAAGAAACATTAGTTTTAAAAATATTTTCTTTAGTAATGTACAAATATTTAAGTCATTGTTTCATCAAATTTTGCAACTAGTTGCATCATTCTAAAAACTGGAGACAGTAGAATATGCTCTGAATCATATAAACCAATCAAATAGTTTCAACTTTTTCAGCAAACACCCTTTATAAATAGGTAATTGTTCCAGAAAATTTCGTTACTGGTACTGTTCTTATATAACTTATTGCTTTATTCTAGAAATGGGTTTGTACCAATCTATCCGATATTTTGTACTCAGTACATAAAAGTATTTGGTCATTTAAATGAAATGCAACATGAAATTTACAGCTACATTTAAAATGAATTAAATTTTAAAATATTAAGTTTTATAATTTTTGTAAATTTTGCTAAAAAAATGAAAATTTTCTTTGCAGCACCAAAAATATTTATCATTTATCCAGTGGTCGGAAAAACTGCGTTTTCTTTGTAGTTAATTGCAAGTACTTTATTACAATTGTAGTCACTACCTTTAGAGAACAAACTTAACTGGCGAACACAATTTTCACCAATATTCAAATTGATTTTGAATAAAAAATTGGCTTGGTTAAATATGGGGAGACATTAAAAAGTTTTAATTCATGTTGACACGAAAAAGTTTTTTATTCTAAAGCACTTTTTACGAATTCGTTCCTTTAACTCTCAAACTCTGTGCTTTTCTCGACAGTGATTTAATAAATGCTAAGAAATTATCAAATATTTGTGATTTAAGTGATCAATGCTTTTTTATATCCTCCACAAAATAAAGTACAGTGTGAAAAACAAAATATGGACCACCCTGAATAACTTTTGATCTAATGATCGGTCCTTCACGTAATAGAACTCAATCACAACAAATATGCTAATTAATGCAGACAATATATTTTGAGTTACTAAATCAGATTCAAAAACGTACTTTATATTCCTGAAAAATCAAAATTTAAAAAAGTCAGATATTTAAAATTAGAGAGTTTTTACCATAGACAGACTATAGTTGTGCTTAGATTAGATTTCTTTTCTTTTTCTATTTTATTATTAATTTTTAAATTTATTTCTTTAAAGCTGTTCTACCAGTTATCCCCTGCTCTTTTTCAAGAGGTCATGGTCAAGAGGTCATCCGGAAATGAGATTCTCACCTCCTCCCCAGTCAGTGTGCTTTAGGAGAGGGAAAAAAAATCTCCACATAGTGAAAATTCAGAGAGAAAAATCAGCTAAAATTTGTTTGGAATTGAGAAAAAGATTTAATCTTTTTTTTAAAAAAAAAAATGCATTTGTAAAGCAAACAACTTGGATTCTATGAGCTGTTCTTTGTAAATATTTATTTTTATTTGACATTTTTGTTTGTATGTAAAACAGGTTTACTACTAATTTTTCTTTCTTTCTATTATCTTTGCTACTGAGTCAAGCGTCTTGAGTTGATTCAAAAAATATTCCATGCTCTTAATTTTTTCTGTATCTATTTCTAGAATTTTTTTTTCTCTTTCATTTCTAGAAAAATAAAAGGCAATACAGAGTTGCCACTCGACAGGGAGAATACAGAAAACCTTGAAAATACAGGGAATTTTAACAGGGTTGCCAGTCCGCAGGGAAAACCTGGAAAATACAGGAAATTTAAAAATCACTTAAAATAACAGGAAATTTAGATTTTTTTTTCTCTTTACAAAATGGGAAAATGCAGGGAATTTTGTTTCTTATTTTTGTCTTTTAAAAAATGGTGACCACGCAAAGCGTATTTTATGGGATATTTAACCATGATATTTCAGCTATACTAAACTATTTAATTTTCTAGAGTATTATTTAAGTATGTTCAGCTGCTTTTTCAGAAATTAAAACTAATAAGTATAGTTAGCCCAATATTAAAATTAAAATTTTAATATAGCTCACACAAGAGCACAGTAATTGTTGTTTCCTTTTAATATATTGTGTATAATATGTACAGGGAAAACACAGGAAAATTTTTTTTCCAGATTTGAGTGACAACCCTGCAACAGTTTATATTTAATTCAGTGGTTCCCAAACTGGGGGTGAATTAGACGATTTCTACTTTCAATGGGGTGATGAGTATTGAAAATAAAATAAATTAAAACAATAATAAAAAGCTAGCGTATATTGAAATTAAAATATATACAAAACCATATGATTAGACAAGGAATTACAAAATTAAAAAATAATAAATTTAAAAAAAATGAATAGTTTTTTTAAAATAATTTTTTAGTCATATTTATGGTTAAACAAAAATCTGTCTTACAGATCCTCTCTGAACAAAACAACAAAAAAAAATGGTTGAACATTTGCTTGAAAGTGAACTTCTGGCGAACATTCATTCTTTAACTGAAAGTAGAAGAAAGTCTTAAGGATGAACAATAGAGTTTTCAAATTTTAATTGTCAACACTTTCAATTCTTCCAGATTTTAATTGAAGAAAAAATATGTATTCCGGTTTTGATTAATTTCCTTCAAATATCTGTTCATTTGAAAAAATAATTTAAAAAAAACTTTTAAGAAAATTACATTTTTTGTTTACTTTTTTTTTTTTCAGTTTGGTTTTATTACTGCTTAAAGTTTTTTTGAGCAAGAAAAAAAAATGAAAAAAAAGAAAGCGAGAGATAGATAGAAAAGAGCGATAAGTGGCAGTCAATATTTAGATGGAGGGCATTCAACATTGGGGGGGGGGGACAAAAAGGTAGGGAACCACTGATTTAATTTTTTAAAAAAAATTATGTATCTGCAAAATAACTCCTGTGAAATGCCTTACTTTATCTTTTATTTAATGAAGTTAAAAATAATGAATAAAAAGTTGTTTTTTTGTATAGATAAATACTTCTCAGTTCTTTCATTCTCTGAAGCAATACTTTTAATTGTACTGGATTGACTGTTGCCAACAACTTCTAAAAAAAATTTTTTTTTTCCTTTATTATCTTTGAGTTGTGTAATATTTGATTTCTGTACAATATAATGTCTTATTCTTATTGATACAGAATAAAGCATTTGTAGCTAAAAGTGTGTAATAAATATTTTGGACTTAAGAAAATTTCTTTTTTTTTTTTCTTCTTTTTTCTAAATTCTTTTGACACAAATAAAAAATAATGATACAATCAATTATTACAAAATAATAATAAAATGCTGTGCTCATAAATGCATTTATTGGTTTTTCAGGATTTCCAAGAAATACATTAATTCTTGACTGAATACAATATTTTAAGCAGAAACTTGTTTCACTTTCTTTAAAATCAATAGCCAAGTCTCCTGTTTTTTAATGAAGACTCCTGTATTTTATGACTATCTCTTGTTTACCCGAATATTCTCAAATGTCTCCGTATTTGTAAAGAAATTTTTAAAAAAAAATTTGCCTATAAAATATCTACTGATGGCAAAAATACTTCTCTAATTCTTAAACAGATGGTGCTATTGCGAAAACTGCTGCGAGTATGTTGAATGTTTATAGCTTAAGTAATTATAAATAATGGTTTAAAAAAATCCTCTTTGCATTAAGATTTATATTCATATTTTTTACTTTGCTAAATGTAAGTCCTTATATTATTTCCAAAGGTTTTTTTTTTTGACTTACATGATTATGCATACTGCATCAAAACTTTGCTCTTTGCCTAAGAAATACCGCTAGTAAAATCTCCGTTATTTTATTTATCATTATTATATCATATATATTATCTCAAATCTCTCATATATATATAGTATATATATATATATATATTTTCTCATTATTATGCTCTGTATCAGTGTTGCCAGATTGGGCTACAAGTAGCGGATTGTGCTACTTTTAAAAGTTCCCGCTACTCAAAATCGAATTTGAGCTACCCGCTACTTTTTGGGCTACTCATTATTTTTCAAACGCTATAAATCATAAAAATGCGCTACTTTCTTACAGAAATACTTAATTAATAATAATACTTTTTTTAAAAAAAATTTCCTTTCCTATTATAAAATGATTCTGAAAAGTTTGCAGTTTCTTTCTACTTTGAAAAATAATTTTTTTTTCTTCCTGAAAACGAATCAGCTTCAGTTTTGGATTTTTGATTTGTTATGCTGCGCAGAGTCTAGAACAGGGGTTTCCAAGTTACATGAGGCCGGGGGCCACAATTAAAAACACAAATCAAATGGCGGGCTGCAACTTTATCAAAATTTTATGTAGGACTCTTTTATGTTTGAAGGGACATTAAATATTACTGTCCGATTTTTATCAAGGTGTACAAACAAAAGTATTGAGTTACAAATTAAAATAAGAAGATTTTTAAAAATATTTAATTGTTATTAATAATATTTAAGAAAATATTAAATAAATAATAAAAATTTGGGCTACAATAACTGTAATGTGCACCAATGTATTAAACAATTAATGTGCAACAGATATCTAATTGTTAAGATATAAAACTTTAAAAAGTTTGGTAATAAAACTTACATAGTAGCACACAAAATATTCAATAAGAAAATTGAGGCTTGTCTGCTGCAACCATCAGTGAATAGATATTTACATTTTAAATGTACAAATGTGTGCGTAAATATTTTCGTCCAAAATGAGTGGTTTCAAAAAGTTAAATCGAAGAATTTCTTCGAGTAAATTTCTGATGCGCACATGCTAAATTATATTCACAAAATACAAAAAATTGAAATGAAAAAGAGCAACATACATGATTATTTTTGTATTTGAATTAAATATTTTTTTGGATGCAAAAACTAAGAAATAAATTTTTTTGCACCGCTGGTATGTTAAATTTCACAGAAACGAAGAGATTAGGTTTTTATAAACGAGAAAAGTATTTTAAACTCATATAGATTTTTTATGAAAATTGTCCGCAAAAAAATAACAACTAATATATTTTCGTTCGCGGGCCACAAAAGAAGGCTTCGCGGGCCGGATGCGGCCCCTGGGCCGCCAGTTGGATATCCCTGGTCTAGAACATAGTTTTTCAAAGGGGGCGATATCGCACCCCTGGTGGCGGCAGGAGTATGCTCAGAGGCTGTGTACTTGTTTTGTGCGGTAAGGAGATGATGAGTGTGATGCCACAATTGGCATTACATATTTATTTCCCATCTTTAAAAAATATCTTTGATTACTTATTTTTATTAATAGAATTATATTTAAAATAAGTCAAAGACTTAAGCTTTTAAAACGAACNAAATTCCCCCCCCCAAGCTTTAAGTGGGCGCATCGTGCGCCCACCTTCCCCCCTGATGGGGGGCCCCTGCCATGGCCTGTCCTTATTAATATTACTATGCAAAATTTATTTAACTCTGAACATTATCATGGATTAATATATTTTGTATCTCGAGCTCTGCAAATATATTAAATAAAAGCTTTTTATTAAATATGGTCCGGTTCAAGTTTCCTCTTCTGTTTTCATCACTATCTTCATTTGGTCCAGTATACCATACAACTTCTAACCTCACCTGATATTCCATCTCAACAAAATTGGCGCACTGACTTTCTATCACTATAATGAGAATGTTTTGTCATTCAAATTTATTTTTAAAACTCACGAATAAAATTTATCCAAAAGTAATATTAGAGAAAAGAAGATTAAATGAATATAATAAATTAAAATTATATGATACAACATTTGTGCCAGCAATAATATATATATATATATATGTAACATAGTTTTTTGGGCTACAAAATGTTCGAATCAGCTACTTTTGGAGCTCTCATTTGCTACTTTTTAATCTTAAGTTCTGGCAACACTGCTTCGAGGAAGCCTCGAGAACACTTTTTCTTTCCAGAACTACTTGGACTGCCATCTGTAATCAAATTATTTTCAAGATTTTTTCAAATGAAATCATTTCTAGTGCTGCCATCTAGGAAATCATTAGAAAAATAACTGGAAAGAAAGTTTAAGATTTGAAATACCTTTTTAGAACAACTTCCCCCCCCCCGACATAACTTAATTTTATATTTTGTATCATACCAATTTCACCCCAGTAACTTTAATTATTTGAATCATAATTTTTTTATCATTATAATTTCGTAATCTTCCTGAAAATTGATTTTTTTTTTTTTTAATGTTTGAGTTATAAAACATGCATAAAATATTCTATCACTTGAGGATGTTTTATACTGAAGATCAAAATCTTTAAAAGAAAAAAAACTTT